GGGTTTTAAGAATGGTACGCGCGGAAACTATACGAACAAGTGTTATCTACATATGTGTGCGCGCCCACGCACACTGGAATGTTTATTGCAATCGACCAAAAATTTGATGTAGTTTGGATATTGACAATCAGTTTTTTTTTCTTTGTTTCTTAAATATAATCAGTATCAGTAAAAGGTAAAAGTAAAAGTGTTATTTTTACCGGTACAAGTTTAACAAACTTGAGTAATAAACAAATTACATGCCAATAGCATCGCTTTATCTCCTTCATTTTTGTTTGAAATAGAAAAGTACTTTAACGGTCAAACTCATTAGTCCAAGGCAATATCAAAAAGTACCTAATAACTACGGCGATAGAATTTAATTACATGTGCTTCGATATTAAAATTAAAAAGTTTAAATATCAAAAAAAAATAGTGGCTTGGGATTTGAACCGCCGACCTTACGCACCAACGGCGGCGAACGGTAAGGCCACGAGACCAAACTAGCATATATGATGACAAACTTAAATTTGATGTTGGTTTTATCTACCTAATATCTGTCATCCGCGTCGAACACTTTTAGTAAATTTTGAAAAATGGTTTTATGCAAAGTGTCAAATGAATGTAACAGAAGTAGTTTATTCCAAATTGTATCACAAGTATATAGAGATAGAGTTCAATTTTGTCAAATGTACCGATATTTTTGCGCACCTTGACTGCTTCGTTACTTATGACGCTGTGGCTGCTACGATATTTATGAGCATCTTGCATGTACTTATATATTTGACGCTGTGTATGTACCGATGTATTTGAGCAGGGTGAATGTATCTATTATTTTGAGGACTTTTGTTGTACCGATATAATTGAATACTTTTGGTGTACCTATAAATTTGCATATCTTGTCTGTGACGATCTATATGACGCTGACTGTACTAAGCGTTTTGCTAGAAATATATTAATATTTTAGTCTAAATGTACTATTTGTCAGCTTATCACCACCTCAAAGGCCAGCAATGCAGCAGCGGTTCCTCTGGTGTTGCTGATGTCCATAGGCATCATTGAACACCTCGGTGTTCCCGCTGCTTGTTTGCCACTTTCTGTTATAAAAAAAAACCATCATCATCATCAGCCTAAATTTATCCACTATTGGATAGGACTCCCTCCATCGATTGCCACAATGCCCATTTCTGTGCCCTATTTGTCTATGGTGAAAATAAAGAAAGTTGTTTTTAAAATTATCATTTATTCCAGGGGCTATGCTACAAGCTGCAGTCTCCTCTGTGGAAGATCATGGTTATGTTATGGATGTTGGTATAAGCAATACCAGAGCATTCCTACCCAAGAATGCGTCAAATTCGGAGTTAGAATTAGGTAAAGAGAAGTTCAATAATTATATTAAACTTCATATTTTTTGTGAGTGGGAAATAATAACTTTTGTGAATGTATTTTTTAGAGACAGGCATGTTGACGTGGTGTTGTATAAAATCTCTAGTTGTAGAGAATGAGAACAGTGTGTTAACACTTAGCAATGACCTGGAGGCTCTGCGGGGAGCGGTCCAGCGGCGACACACTGCAGCACTCTACCCCGCTACTGCACTTGAGTTTTCTATTGACAAGGTAATTTTTAATTTTATAAGGTGATAAACAATCTAGCAACCACCTGATTCAATGAAATAGCGAAGCAACTGCTACCCATAGATAGCTTTGCCTACCTTTAATCTACTCAGGAGGGGACAAATTGGAAGGGAAAATATTCTCTTTCTGTATGTGTCTATATTCCCCTCCTCTAACAAATCTCCATCCTTTCCAAGAATATGGTGGGAAGGGGACAGGCCTAAAATTAGACCTTTGGCACCACAAACGCCAAATTGTTTCCACTTTATGCCTGTATGTATCTATGTTAGTGGTATGTTACTAAAAATAAAAGTTCCTATGAAAGTATTATATATATTTTTTTGCATTAGAAAATCATGTTTATATTTCTTTTGCAGTCTTTAGACAATGGTATAGAGGGGCATGTGTTCCAAGACACAGTGGCATATGTACAGCGGCAGCAGGTCGACAAGGTGAAAGGAAAGAAACCTAACTTTGGACAAAAGGTAATCACAATGAGAAATATAACCGAACTTGTATAAGCAAGAGTTTAAGGTAGTGACTTTTTGCTTGCCTATAGAGTTTTCTATGTAACCCGAGTTGTGATGATCGTCCGTAAAAACCGGAGAGTAACTCTCGCTTACTCGAACTCCATTGCTGAGACCCTTGTATTGACAAATGTTTAGTATTGATTGTCTTCTTTTTTGTTAAAAAAAGAAAATATATATACATATACTAGCTGTCGCCCGCGACTCCGTCCGCGTGTTTGTCTAATAGATAATAAATAAAAATTTAGTAGTGGACTACCCTTAATATTTAGGGGGATGAAAAATAGATATTGGCCGATTCTCAGACCTACACAATATGTTCACAAAATTTCATGAAATCGGTCAAGCTGTTTCGGAGGAGTATGGGAACGAAAATTGTGACACGAGAATTTTATATATAAGAAATATATAATATAACTGCATTTGAATTCTAAACTTAAATTAAAAATGTCTTTTTCTTTTGTGAGATTTTGTTTCCATTTTCAAATTTATTTTATTTTCCAGGTTCGCGCCAGAGTGTTATACGTTTTACCAACAAGGAACACACCATTTTTGACAATGAAGAACATATTTGAATGTACATATCCAGATTTAGAGAAAGAACAGAAGTACAAAACGGGAGACATCATTGAGGAAGCTCAGGTATTTATCATAATTAACGTAAATTGTAGCAAATATTTAAAAAATTATCTGCGCTAAATAATATAACTATAATTTAAAGTTAATCCCAACTGACCTGAAGTAACACCTCACTTGTCAAAATCTCTTTATACATTTAGGCTCTACATTGTCAAAGGAATTCACAGACGTACAAACCTACATACTGTTAGGAAGAAAATCTGACTCTGTGCCGGTATACTGGAACAACACTGGCCTTGCTAAAATGTCGACGTTTATGTCCCCTCACTAATCGTAATTTTTGACACTATGTAATGAAAGCAGGTCTAAAAATTATATATATAAGTTCACCTCCGTCAGGTAAATTGCAGGTCACTGCAATGTTATATACAGTTTTAACAATAATTTCTTTATAATTCCAGGTGATAAAGATAATGGGCAGGTGTATAATGTTCAAGCTGGGGTCTGGATGTATCGGCAGTCTCAGTCTGCGCAGGATACAGGTGGATGAGGAGCTCACTGACGAGGATGTTATTGCAAAGTCATATCCCATCGGTGAGTTATGTAAACATGATACAAATATATGAAACACATTCACTGCCGCTGATTCGCTTGGTTAGTTTGATACGTAAATACTAATGGCAAAGAATATGTTAGAGTTTGAAGCAAATGTTAATTAAGAAATTGTTTTTTATAGATTAAAAAACTAAATAAAAATTGCTTTTAGAAAATTTTGTACCAATAGAAAAATCTTTTATCTATGACTTATAGTAGTAAAGCGTAAGTTTGGTCTAGAAATAATATTTTCCCTTTTTTGCGTCTATTTTTTTGTATAAGGTTATTGCTATTGGTCATTTCTTCATTACTATGTCAGTACGAATAAAAAAATTAATAATGACAACGAAAAAAAATAGACGAAAAATAATGTCACGATATGCACTGGCCAGTCAACCCCGAGGTCAGTGTTGCCACAACATAGCAATAAATATTACTATTTTTATATTTATTTCCAGGCAGTACTCACGTTGTCAGAGTTCTTATGTACAATATGTGCGACTACATATACTCGTTGAGTGACGAGGCGTCAGTATTGTCAGAGAAGATATTCACGTTGTCAGACCTGAGTGTTGGTGACATAGTGCCCGCTACTGTGCGCAATGTCAATGATAACAGACTGATACTGTCCGTTGGAAGAGTTACTGGTATGTATAGTAATTGTAGAGCCATAGGCTTCATTTTAGTATTCCTTAAGCAAAACAAACTTAATTCTTTCAGGCTACATTTATGCCAAATTTCGGTCTGATATATGCAACCGTTCTGGAGATACCTTCCAACAAACATCCATCTATCCATCCATCCATACATCCAAACAATTGGATTTATAATAATAAGATTTTTACTAGAACTTATTTTTGATTGTAACCTATATATGTTTAATAATGATATAAAATTCAAATATAACGGTTTCCAGGTGTTGTTCTGAAGACGCATATGTCAGACGCCGGGTGCTACGTGGACCCGAAGAAGGCGAGCACCGCTCAGCTGACGAAGAAGTTCAAGGTAAATTAAGCCTTTCAACAAATTTAATTCAACCAATTTTTAAACTAAACAAACCTTGTTTTTGAAAAAAAAAAGAAATAACAATATGTGTGTGATATGCAGCCACTAGTGTCAAAATCGTTAAATTTTCAACAAAAAACCTATTTAATTATATGACAGGAGGGACAGCGTGTGAAGGCAAGAGTGTGGGAGTTAGACGTCAAGAGGTCGATTCTGAAACTGACGTTAAAGCCCAGCCTTCTGACGCCAGACCTGGACGTGCTGCACAGATACGAGGACGCTGTGGAGGGCAAGACCTACACTGGAGTTATAGCGGTAAGAATAACCTAAAAAAAAACAAAGAACAAAATTATCCAAAACCCCTAAAAAATGATAATACAATAAGCTACCAAAAATTACCAAATCCTACCAAAATTGCCATATCCTACAATTAAATTACCAAACATAAATATAACTATACCAAAGATATGTGTGAAGTCAACCAACCCGCACCTGGCCAGCGTGGTTGACTATGGCCTAATCACCCTTAACTTAGGGTAGGCTCCGAGCCCCTCGGTGGGGACGTATAGTGAGCTGATGATGATAATGATACCAAATATTTGTGTTGTTTAGTGCGTCCGTGACTACTTGCTGGTGTCGTTCTTCAACGGGTTGCATTGCTACGTGCCGCGAGCACATGTCGCCCAGCCCCCGCCCGACACCCTCAGCACGATATTCCATGTTGGACAAATTGTAAGTGTTCACCATATATTTATATAGATACTTGCGATCGCCCGTGACTCCGTCCGCGGAATTTTTAAGAAAAAAAAAACATAATTAGTATGTATGCCAAATTTCAGCGTGATCCAACCAGCTGTTCTGGAGATACCTTCAATCAAACATCCATCCATTGAAATATTCGCATTTATATATAATAGTCAGTTTTTTTTACTATCCACAAGAAGTTACAAGTTTAAAATGTTTTTTTAGGTTAACTGCACCATTCTAAATGTGTTACCGGAGACTAAAAAGATGACTGGAAGTCTCCTCTCTGACCCGTTCAAGTACTGGAAAACTCGGTTGACAACAGAAAAGAGACAAAACACTGAAGATGGACCGATATTAAAAAAGAAACTAAAGAAAAGTGAATCACAGGAAGAAAATACAATTGATAAGAAAGAAAAGAAAAACGAATCTACAGAACATGAAGTCATGGCAGAAAATGTAGAAGATAAATCCAAAATTTCCAAAAAAAAGAAAAACAAGAAGAAAAATAAAGAAATAACAGTAGATGGAGAAAATGTGGAAAATGAAAATCTTGAAAATGAAAGCAAGGAATCAAATAATATGGAAGATAGCACAACAGAGAAAAAGACGGGTAAAAAGAAAAAAGAATCAGAAAATGTTGAAACAGAAGATGACTTTTTGGATCTGGATGAAATTTTCACAAAACACGAACTTATGGACGTAGACGAGGATGTTGACTCAAACAAAGAGAAAGCTAAAAAACGAAAGAAAAACAACAAAGACAAACAGGAACTAACAAAAGAATCTAAAAGTAAAACAAATAAAAAAAATAAAACAGTCGAAATACAAACGGATTCAGATGAAGAGGAAGTTCCAGATAAAAAGATAAGGAAATCTGTTTCACCAGATAAAGATAAGACAACAGAAGAAAGTGACGCGATAGAAACTGATATATACGAGGATAGTGACAACTTGCTGACACCACAAGATCAGGGTCTCATGGACCTGTCAGACTGCACCACACCAAAGCAATACAAACGAAGAATAATATCTTTATTGAAAGTAATACAAAGCAAGACACGTCGTATAGATAAAATAGATGAAAAAATAGAAGCATTAGTAAACAGAGGAATAACAGTTGGTAGCAAAAAGTACCACACCGCCATGCTCACGGAGAAATTACTTATAGAAAAAGGTATCGAGAAACTTCTAGAAACATTAAAAGTAGCCCAGGATAAATTTAAAGAATTCAACTTGAAAAAGGAAAATAAGAAAAAGAAGGAAAAGAAAGAGAAGAAGATAACAGATCTTATTCAGTTTGTTGATAAGAAAAGTGAGATTAAAGTAGATAAGCCGGTACAAAAAGTTCTAGATATAAGTAAAAGTGTAAAAGTGCAAAGTGTAGAGCCTGTGTTGGAGGTGCCGAGCGCCAAGGAGTTCTGGTCTGCACCCTCGGAGCCTCCCCAACCACCTCAGGAGCAGGACTCCAGTAGCAGCAGCGAGGAGCAGGTTTGTAGTACTTATTTACTTTCACTTGTATTGTTTATTTATCAATCATATTCTTTATTTATAATTATAAAATTACATATACCAACTTGGTAAACAACTCAGTGGAATGTTCATGTGACAATTAAATTAATATAATTGTTCAAATGGTACGTATAGGAAGAAGAGAAACCTAAGAAAAAGCGTAAGAAGCTCCGTGCGGCAGAGAGAGTGGCGAAAGCACGGGAAGAGGAAGAGAAGATCAGATCGCTGGAGATCGAGCAGGTGGCGGGGGGCGAAGCGCCGCGCTCCGCGGAGCAGTTCGAGCGCGCGCTGCTCGCCAGTCCTGACTGCAGTCAGCTCTGGATAGCGTACATGGCATTCCATCTACAGGTAATGTGGATCTACTCCTCAATCTCTATCTCTTTTTTATTGTCTCTCTCTCTCTCTCAGTCTCTGTCTTATAGTGATAGATATCAAAGCCATTTGTTATAAACTGGCATGCAAGAATTAAATCCCTCCATATTCCTTTTTTTCTATCAAAGAAAGAATAATCAGTAAAAAGTTAAGAGTATGTTAAATGAATGAATTATTTGTTAGTTTTAAATATATGACTGTATGTGTGTTGCAGGCCACGGAGATAGAGAAGGCGCGCGGTGTGGGGCGACGTGCGCTGCGCACCATCTCCTTCCGCGAGGAGCAGGAGAAGCTGAACGTGTGGCTCGCACTGCTCAACCTCGAACACCGCTTCGGCACCAAGGTATATACACACTCATACACACTTTGTTAAGTAATGACTTTTTCCACTGTACGTTACTTAAGAAAGCAGGAGTTAAAAGAAGATAAAAATTATTTAACATTTTATATTTATAATTTTCTTATTTTTTTAATTTGATTATTTTACACTAAATTTATAATTTTCATAACCGATCTAATATTCACAGGAATCCCAACAAAAAACATTAGAAGAGGCGCTCCAGATGAACGAGAAGTACCAGATCCACTCCAAACTGCTAGACATCTACGTAGAGACGGGTAAGGCGAGCGAAGCTGGCGCGCTGGCCGAGCTGATGCTGCGCAAGTACCGGCGTCAGCTGCAGGCCTACATCGACGCCGGCAGCGCCTGCTACCAGCTTGGTCTGCTGGATAAAGCACGACAGATCATGCAGAAGGGACTCACCGCTTTAGAGAAGAGAGAACGTGAGTTTACATTCATCAAAAACTTTTATGTTATTTTTTTAATGGCGATAAGTATATTTACAGATGAAAACCACGTTAGGATTTGAAATGTATTAGGAATCACTAGATGGTTACCATCGTATAGATAGAAAAGGAGGCACAAGTGGAAACGGCCGTTTTAACCACGTTATATTCAGAATATCTTGGACTCTCTCACGGTATGTCTATGTATTCTCATTGCAAAACTTGTTTCCAGATGTGTCTCTGCTGGTGCGTTTCGCTCAGCTGGAGCGCGGATGCGGCGAGGCGGAGCGCGCGGGGGCTCTGCTGGAGCACGTGGTCGCCGCCTACCCGCAGCGCGTCGACGTCACCTCACTATACGTCGACATGCTGCTCAAGAGTAATGACATAGAACGAGTCAGGTAAACCAATTAACTTATATTTCATTTCAATTTAACCTCAATTAAGTAACCAATGGAACGTCAAATGTCACTGAAATGGTGGCCATTAATTCTTAACCCTGATGATATAAATTAATGATCAACACAAACCAGTATCAGTTTAATGAAAAACATACATAAATTAAGTATTGTCAAACAATAATGATCTGAGCGTCGGTGGCTCAGGGGTCAAGTACTTGACTTGCAATCTGCAGGTCTTGTGTTCGAATCCCGCCATTCACCATGTGTTTTTCGATTTCCGATTTACATATGTACATTTATCCGACGTTCTTACGGTGAAGGAAAACATCGTGATGTAACCTGCACATATCTAGGCTCCGAGCCCCTCGGTGGGGACGTATAGTGAGCTGATGATGAAAAATGAAATGAAAACAATGTCTGATCTAATTCTAATAGGAATATGTTTGACAGGCAACTTATGGAACGAATGACGTCACAGAAACTGCCAGCGCGCAAAATGAAAGTACTCTTCAAGAAATGGATTGAGGTTGAAGAGAAAATTGGCAACCAACAGCAAGTCGACAACATCAGGAAACGCGCTTTGGAATTTATAGAGAAAGCGCAGTTCTAAAATAAAAAAAAATGACAACACTTTTTTGTGGTTTTATTACCAGAACCAAAAAATTAAAAATACATTAGTTTTGCATAAAAAAAGAAATGCAACTTCTTCTTAAAAATATTGACTAGGCTTGTAGTAGTAATAATAGTCACTTAAAATACTATAAAAGTAACTTGGACTAAATATAAAATGATTTCCAAATGTAATAAATAGAATTTTTAAAACAATTTCTTAAACATAAATATTTTGTCAGGTTTATCATTTACTGGAGCAGGCGGGGGCGGAGGCGGAGGAGGTGCTTTTATCTTTTCATTGGCAGCTTTTGCTTTTGACGCAAAAGTTTCCTTTTTACTTTTCACATTCACTGTTTCGTTTTGCTTATAATTCCCATAAATTGATATTGGATGACAAACAACGTAACCCAATTTAGAGTAAAAATCCTGTTGTCCATGAGTAGACAAATGTATCATGTCTAATTTCAAAGTGTTTTTGCAATATTCTTCAACTTTGTTCATTAAAAAAGTTCCAAGTTTCTTCCCACGCATTGATTTTGTTATGACGACAGTCTCTACAAAGCAGCTTTTAGGAAAACTTGGGATTCGAGATAATTTACAATGTCCCAATAACATTTTATCCTTGTTAATTAGAATTAAACTTGTTGGTAAAGAGTCGCATGATGATTGTAGGGAATTCAGTCTCGCAGTTAAGCTACGAGGCCATTCGTCGTTTATCATATCGCAGCATGCTATTAAACATTCGGGATGTTTGTGTAAAGCCACAACACGCAGATCACCAAAATCCATTTTGAAATGCTGAAAATTACAAAAAATATTTAATCTATACAAAAATGACATACATATGGTATTTTTTATCTATATCTGTCAATAATTTTAACTGTCAATGTCAATTACGATAAACTGAAATGGGCATTAAATAATCAATAATTGTAATTATAAACCACTTACTCCAAACTAGTTATAACACATAACACAACATTGAATTAATAAAATAAGATACGTACCGCTAAAAATTTTGGAATGCTATTACTTTATGAGCCTTGAAATCGCGTAAGAACATTTTATTTTATTTTTTTACACGGGAGCAACATAACCTGGCCCATGTTTCGGTCATACTAACCTATTTTTACCTTTAGCTGTCACAAACTTTAAAAGGTGTCTTTAATTTAATTTCATGTTATTTGAGTTCTAGAATCCCTTACAGTAACTCTTATCTGTTATTTAGTATAATAGTATCATTATCAAAGAATTGATAACTTATTTTTTAAATCAAAAGCCCGCCTTTACATCTATAACGACGCTACTTTAAAGTTGGCTTGGCTGTATTAGCAAACTTGACTTAAAAGCTAAAAAGTATTACTTTTTGGTTATTTGGCACTCTGATATGGCCTCGAACCAGCAATTAAGTATTAAAATATAGTAAAATCAATAACAAAACAACTTTTTAGATATTTGTTATTGGAAAAAACTTATAATATTTAAAAACAATGGATGATGATGATGATGTACCGAGGCTGTCTGCGGAAACATTTGCAGCTCTTCAAGAGTTCTATGCAGAACAGAAAAAAAGAGAGGAAATCTTGAGTAAATTGGAAGCTGACAATAAACTGGGCGAGAAAATTATATTTGAAGAAAATTGGGTAATTTTTGAAAACTAAAAATTTATGTAGATAGTTACTGCAGCACTCAGAATGGTTTAGAGATTATTTAAATAGTTCTTTAGTATAGATTATATTAGTGTATCTCATGTAATGTACTTTTCAACGACCATAAAAAGGTTAATTGTGGCACTAATTGCCAAGTGTGTCTCTTCATGTAGATTCATACTAAAGTAACTATTAAATGACTGTGCATGTTAACTCTGATTATTTTTTTCAGCAATTAAGTCAGTTCTGGTATGATGAGGAGACAGTGCGAATCCTTGTGAATGTTATTGACAAAGTATTGGCTGATGATGGAAGAGTTGCGCTCATCTCCTGTCCCACATTGTTTGTGCCACTTAAACGACAGATTGGATACAGAGCATCAGGTATATTTAATACTTATTGTTAATAATATCAATGAGGCTTTAAATCATACATTAATATTTTTATTTATGAATAACTGAGGCCCGAAGGGAATTAAAAAGAAGATTATTTAGTAACCTAAGTTCTTGCAGACTATGTTCTATGTGTATGCCAAATTTAGGTGAGATCCATACAGCCATTTTGGAGATATCCATCCATCCATCCAATTTGCATTTATGGTATTAGTAAGATGGTAGAGAAGCAGTCATTTTGCTCAAGTAATGGTTTTTATAAATGTTTGATAAAATAATATAAGAAATGTTGACAAAATCTGATAACTTTTATATTCCAGTTACGCTTTTGGAATATGACAGACGATTTGAAGTACACGCACCCAACTTTGTATTCTACGATTATAACCATCCAGACAAGTTGCCACCAGAGATGCACAGTAGTTATGACTTAGTTGTTGCTGATCCACCGTTCCTCTCAGAAGAATGTGTTACAAAAACATCGCAGACCATCAAATTACTAGCTAAAGATAAAATAGTGTTTTGTACAGGAGCAATAATGAGGGAGTTGGTGGAAAAACTTTTAGATTTAAAATGTTGCCAGTTCCAGCCACATCATAGGAACAATCTTGCAAATGAGTTTTCATGTTATGCTAATTTTGATTTAGATGCCTTGATATAAGGATATAGGTGTAAGAAAAGAAAGAACTAAATTACTCAAGGCACTCAGAGATATTTAACGATTACTTAAACTGTTCTTAGTGTGGACCTCTCATAGGCATCACATAATGACAGTTTGTAAGTTTTATAAAATATGATTACAATTAGGTATAAGGTTGTAAAGTTGTTTTTTTTGTAAATAAAACAATTTATATGCAAAACATTCCATTTCTTTTATTGTTCTCACTTAACAAAACTAATTATTTTGTCATATTATGCCGGTTAACATATCATAGATAATCTGATAATTTGTGTTACAGTTAAATATTACTCTTAACAAGTCTTGAAAATATATTGGCTCACTTTAAATTGATATTTAGACTTTAGATTCAATGCGTGTACACAAAGAATTCAAATATATGAATGTTTAAATAGAATTATCGGATTGACTTTTCTCACTACATGTGCTGAATATTCACAATTAATTAAATTAACAAAACTTTACTCACAAAAATAATTACAGTTTGAGTGAAACTCAATTTTGTTTGCCATAAAATGTGTAACACGAAATTTACAATAAACGCATTCGATATGACATGTGTACTACAAAGTAATTACATACTCTTTGTTTTTTGATTTGACATCGCATGACAGAAAAGGCGGGAAAACAAAAGTAGCCTTGATTTTTTTTTAATTTCATGAATGCAAATACGTAAATTTTAAAAATATTTAGCTAAAGATATAAAAATATTGCACCTACACTACAAAAAAAAAAGAAAATTGCCAAATTCATTGGCGGAATGGTGTTTAGGCCTTTGACTTTTTAAAAATACTATGAAATCTGCTAACCAGCCAGTTACATTACTACAAACACCAAAGGAATGATATTATTAACCTATTTGAATTATATTCTCTTACAAAGGCCATTGTTATAAATATTGGACATTTACAATCATAATAAACTCTAATATCATTTAATTACAAACAACGACCATTTTTCCAACTCATTACATTTCCTTAAAGCTATAAAACAATTTGGTGTCGAAACGCCAATGTCAAAATAATTTCTTATGACAAATCGTACAATTAGACGAAAAGAGTTACATTGAGATTTTATAATGTTACTCTTTACGTATGACAGTACGAAAAAAGCGTTATTTTATCCGACACAATGATCCCATTTCCTTTGAATTAAAAATATTAAAACTTACATATAAATATGATTTGTAAGTAAAAATAAGAATCCATTGAAATGTATTAAACATAACACAAATAATTAAAATTTGTACTAAAAATAAAATTTAAATACCTACTTACCTATAAAGAAAATTACAAAGTGAAAAAATATTTAAAATAAAAATTTAACACATTTTTTTTTTCATCAATCTTTGATATTATATTCATCATGAATACATTTTGCTTGCGTATAGCTTAAGAAAATATATTTTTAATACATCGAGCACATAAAGCCGACACTGAAATTAATTAAGACTGTAGCACACTGCTGACAAAGCGAAAAATGCAAAGTAAATATATATTTTACACAAAAATTGTGGATTAAGTTTGTTCCAGCAAACTATTTAGCAGCTAAAATGTAAATCTGCGTTCCATACTTTGCATCGTTTTCATATCTTCGCTTCGCTTTTGGTTTGTCGACAGTGTGCCACAGACCTAAGGAATCAACTTTCGTAATAACCTTAAAAATAGTTATAAATACCAGCCCTGTAATTAGATTCAGATTCCTATCTACACACATTTATCTATACAAGGCAACATTCTACAATATTTAATAATAATTTTCCATAACTTTTAAATACAAAAAAGGTTAATTTTATTAGTGAATCTATATTAAATTCATCTTTCTATTTGAATATATTGAAGAATGAAGAAATGCTATCTGTTAGAGAACTCTTTAAAATGTTTAGACAAAATACATTAAATAGTATTTATGTTAAGTTAGTTTTTTTCTTTAATCCGGTTTAAATATTGAAATTGAATTTAAAGTTACATTTTATATATTATTGTCGTTAAACTTTAAATAGGATTTCTTCTTTAAACAATATATATGTTACATTGAAATTACACTGCTGAAACATGTTTTCATACAAGTATTACGAAGACAACACTGTAACCTTTTATGATTTAACACAACATTTATTAATTATTTAATAATCCTATAGTCTTAATAATATTTTCTTATATTATAACATATTTAATTTCTCTCAAAATTCACAGAATTTTCCTGTTTATTGACACCAAAAAAAAAAACAACAAAAAAAACCAAATGTGCTAAAAAGCGGCAAATGCAAATATGGCGTTAGTTCCTTTAATTAAATATATTGTTAGTAGAAATGATTGTCACGTGTTTATTTTATTTTTAAACATTAAGGAATACATTTTGCATTCACCCCGGCACTAAGTATATATAAATCTAACTTAAGCTACATCTCTTCAACAGAAGAGATCAGGAGCTCGCCACGAGATAAAATCATTTGGGTGCTTTACATATTTAATTTACAGTTTATTTTTTTTCACACTTCATAACGCATAAGAGACAAGAATAAAAAATTCCGTTAAAAAAAAACATTGTCAAACCTATTCAAACTTTATCGCTAACAAAGAAAAAGAAATAAGATTATAGAAAAACACAAAAATAAGCCGAATCACTCTAGAACTTATAAAGCCAAGTAAAGAGGATTTAAAATACAGTCGAACCTGGAAAATCGAGAAACCTCTTTAAGCAAGTAATTGTCAAGTCCCGACGGACGTCTTCCATAAACAAGAAAAGCATTATTTATATTATTAGGTGGCAACTTGGATTCGCCAAAATAACGAAGCGATCGCTACCCATAGACATTTGCAATTGCAGATACGTTGCCTACTCTCAATCGACGGAGAAGGGGACACACAGAAAGAGAACATTTTCCCATCTTATGTGACCCCTTCTCCGAGAAATCTACTGCCCTTACTATACTTTCCTCATCAGATACTAGTGGGAAGAGAAAGAGGATTAAAATTAGACCTCCGACATAGATATTGCGGTCTCTTGGACTCTTGTTTATCCTGGTTCGATTGTGTTATAAGACATTCTTGTCTCGATTTACGTTAAAAATGTCATACAAAATTTGCAATGCTCGGCAAAGTTAAAATTTACTACAAATACGGGAATATGCCCTCAATTGACAAACACTAAGGAAGATTGCTCTTGACCAAAATTTAAAAAATATATATCCTTCCTTCTTATTGAAGACTATTCCAGTACACGTCATGAAAAACATACCAAACCAAAAAATACATAGCTAATATAAAAACATTCAAATGACTCAAATCAAGACTAAAAAGCTACAATCAGTAGTTTAAAAGTAAAACTTATAAAACATCAACATAGTACAAACTAAAAATACGTATAACCCGTGTACAAAAACATAAGATGTCGTAGCGCGTATTTCCATTAGTTGACTTTTTATCAGATTTCAAAAAGGAGGAGGTTAACAATTCATCTGTATCTATCATTCTGAACTCTGTACAAGAGATAATGACGTCATTGAACATTTTAACTCCTCAAAACAATAAAATAAAACCTTCTTTTTACGTTATGTGAAATACGCTTTAATATTTTTCATGTTAATTTGATATCGTAAATTATTTTGGTATATTATTCTGTTTTCTACTATATCTTAGTGTCTTTTCCAAATCTCATTCTCCTTGTATTATCGTTAAGGTAATTCCCGTAAATTAAATTTTAATAAATGACTAATCGTGGGTTTCTGAAACCAAAATCCCCTTTTAAAACATATTATAACTGTTTTATCAAAGGTAACAGTGCGAGCGTCAGTGGCAGTGGATTTATATTTGTGCATTTATCCGACGTTCTTACGGTGAAGGAAAACATCGTGATGCTGCACATATCTGAGAAGAAATTCCAAGATGTGTGTGAAGTCAACCCGCACTTGGCCAGCATGGTTGACTATGGCCTAATCACCCTTAACTTAGTGTAGGCTCGGAGCTCCTCTATGGAGACGTATAGTGAGCTGATGATGATGGTGAACAGTGACAAGGATATGTTTTATAAGGAGATTTTGTTCTCTGTAACCTACGGTAAATATTTGACAATATAACTATCATATATTTTGCGTTACAAAGTGTAACTTGAAAATAGTATACATGGTTTTATAGTGTTGCCATATTACTGATATTATTGACATTTAAAAAAAAAGTTTAAAATAAACTGTCAAAATGAAAGGCACCCATGGTTTGCTGCGCTACCAGGAGAACATACCGACACAACGAGAGAAAGGGGACATTAAACTTCATTTAACATTTGTTTGGCTCAATTAATGTAACAAAAGTTATTTTGTTTTTTTTTAAATGTACCTATTGTTGTTGGATTTAGTATATTTTTTAAAAAAATTATTCTAGAATCGTATTTACTGATAGTTTTGTATAGCTTAAGAAAGATTGTAGGCCATTTTGTAATACGAAAAAAACTATAGTTTCAAGTAACTAATTTAGTTTTAGTAGTATTATTTAAATACCTAATCAGATGAAATTAAATGTTGCATTATTCATCAGTACATAAAGTAAATAACTGTATATAGGCCGTAAATATAGGTTTTAAGTCAGAAAAATCCTCAAGGTTAATGCAAATTACATCCTGCATGTATAGAAAAGAACAGAGGAAGAGAGAAAGAGACAGAGATACAGAAGGAGAGAGACGTAAATACGATTTTTATTGTTTGATGTTATTAAAAAGATAAGACTTGTATAATTATCCCCTTTTCTCTGACGATGCGAGCAGTGTGTGACGTGTCCTACCTGCGGCGCAGATGTCTGTGGTTGGGCGCGCAGAGGTAGAGCAGCAGCAGCAGCAGGGCGAGACAGCGCGCCAGCAGCAGCGCCGCGGCCGCCGCCAGCCGCGCCAGTCGCGCCACGCACCGCGCCAGCGCCCGCGCCGTGGCGAGCTCCGGCCGGCATCATCCCGTGCCGCACTTGCCGCTCTCGAACACGCCCTACACAACACTTCTACATCACAATAACTAGCATAACAAATTACTTAAAAATATAACAAGAGTAAGAGCGTCGGTGGCTCAGGGGTCAAGCACTTGTGACTTGCAATCTGAAGGTCCTGGGTTCGAATCCCGCCATGTACCAATGTGTTTTTCCATTTCCGATTTACATATGTACATTTATCCGACGTTCTTACGGTGAAGGAAAACATCGTGATATATCGACATATCTGAGAAGAAATTCAAAGATATGTGTGAAGTCAACCAACCCGCACTTGACCAGCGTGATTGACTATGGCCTAATCACCCTTAACTTAGGGTAGGCTCTGAGCCCCTCGGTGGGAACGTATAGTGAGCTGATGATGATGATAACAAGAATACAATAAACCCTCAACTATATCTTTATAGTAAATCGCTAAAAAATTGAACAAATTTTCTGAAGAATAAAGTGTTACAGCGTAAAAGTAATTAAAATGTACACTAGATAAATAAAATTGTCAATCATCAAGGTCATCAACAAGATAGTACATGTGTACAAAGAAAATTAAGTGTTATACCTTTCGGAAGAATGGCGAGAATGCGACGAGCGAGTCTCTAGTTAGTGGGGCGGCGTGGAGCGGACAGCGCGCGTCCTGCGCACACGCAGCCAGCAGCCGGCGCAGAAACGCCTCTAGCTGC